ATGGGTCCCATCCCCGTTGGGAAACTAAGGTCCTGCATACTTCGAAGCCAAAAAATAAAAATGATAGGGATAATTTAAAAAAGAAAAACAGTCCATCTAGTTAAGGATTTTGGTTCTATTGATAACTAGAATTTTGAATAAAACAACCTAGAGCTTTAACTTATACAGATTAAGGATATACTTAATCACCACCATCATCTCTCTGGACAAATTCATTAGTGTCTAAAACCCACTGATTTAATCTATGCCATCCTGAACTTAATTGTTGATTTGTAACAGTCCTTGGAATAAGAAACCCTCTAAATTCAAAGAAATCTCAAAGGTTACCCTGAGTAATATAATCTTCCTCAAAAGAATCTACTCCAATTGTGGAAATCTTTCTTGAGCTTATTTATATTAAGTTGAACCATATAATATAAAACTGCCAACATTCTATCATTTCTGAATGATAAAAACAGCAATTATGTAATATGGTTCAGACTGATACATTTGAAACTACTGGAAAAATTTACAACTGGAAAAAGAAAAAAAAACAAAAACTAAAAACTGGTGAAAAACTAGAGGAACTTAAGAGAATCACTTCCAGCCTCTAGCTACAAATGTTTACCAGATTTCTCAGGTTTTTTGTTTTACTTTGAAATAATTGACTAAACATGGTCAATAAAGGACTCTTCTGGCCAACCAATTTAGTCTTTTTCAAATGAAATTAATTCAGTGCAAAGGAATCATAAATAGCATGAATTATGAATTATATATAAAGTTAATCTTTAGTTTCAGATATACATTACATATAGCTCAATTATAAATTTCTAGCTATGAGACTAATTCTTCAATTATTTCAGAAGTCTTTCTGTTGTGTGTATGGTCAGGGCATAAGATAGTGAGTCTTAAAAAATAATCCACTGAAGAATTCTTCACCTGATAACTAAGTTGGCAGCTAACTACATATGGTCAATTCTGCATATTCCAAAGTAATACTTAACACACTATCAAGATAATTTCCCTAGGTAAGGATGTTGGGTACTACATTATCCTAACTCCCCTGTTAAAGTAAGATAATATCTAGGACTGTGCCTAATTCTTATAAAAACTTGTAGCTTCCATGGTGAATCAGTGTCTCCTATTTAATGCCAAAGTACAATGGTATTTTGGCTTCAACAACTTTTTAGAAAGAATCAAAATCTTTGCTTATCTGTCAAATGTAACCTCACCCCATCAACAGCACCTCCCTTAAAAAATGTCTGCATGAACAACAGCAATAGTCTTAATGAATAAGTAGCAACAGCACTTTAGACACCTAAAGATCTCTTTAATTTCACAGAGAACTTGGTATAATGAAATACTTCAGAAAGTGAAAGTACCTGGTTTGAAGATTACTGATTTATTCTTTTTAACTTATTCTTTGGCTTTTGTTTTACAATTAAGCTATTTAAAACTAAGATACATATATGTAACTTAGACACACATATATATATACAGATATATATGGTTATATTTATATACACATATATGGTTTTATATATATATATATATATATATAGTTAGTGTTTTATATATATTTATAACCAGATATATATGCAGCTGAGAGCAGACATCCTTGTCTTGTTCCTGATCTCAGAGAATACATTCAGCCTTCAAACATTAAGTATGATATTAGCTGTGGGTTTTTCATAGAGATGTTCTTTATCATGTTTGGACACTTCCCTTCTATTTGTAGCGTGCTGAGTGTTTATTATTGAGAAGGTAACAGGCAGGAAGGCCAGGGGTCTCCAAACGGAGGAAATAGGCTGCAAGTGTCAGACATTTTTTTATCTCTCCCTTAAGCGGCAGGAGGAAACAAACTACAAGTGTCAGATTTTTTTTCTTTCTCCATACAAAATTAAAAGCAGGTTTCTCTATGGAAATATTTTTCTTAAGCTATGTTAATGAAACTATGTATTTGCTTTGGAATTTGCTTTTCTTCAAAATGGTTCCACCTAAGATTAACTTTTTTTCTTTTCTCAAACCTTGGGCTGATAATAGCTCAACAAACCAGTAGTCATATCAATTGTTTTATGGCTAGGGAATGACACACCTCATGCCATCCTATCTCAAAAATGCATTTTGTGGGAGAGGGGCCTGGTGAACCTCTGTCAGCCTTGAGATGTCTCTCTTATCTAATTAATAGCTTTCTAACAGACATAAAACAGCTTGCTAAGACTAGCAGGGGGGCACTCTCCATCCCCCTTCTGAAGTCTATGTCAGAAGCTTTCTGGCCCTTTTCATACTTTAATAAAACTCTGCTACACAAAAGCTCTTGAGTGATCAAGCCTGGTCCCGAAGCTAAATCTTCTTCTTCAGAGATCATGAATCCAACATTGTTCACCACAAGCTATCATTATCATGAAAGGCTACTGCTGCTGCTGCTAAGTCACTTCAGTTGTGTCCGACTCTGTGCGACCCCATAGACAGCAGCCCACCAGGCTCCCCCGCCCCTGGGATTCTCCAGGCAAGAACACTGGAGTAGGTTGCTATTTCCTTCTCCAATGCAGGAAAGTGAAAAGTGAAAGTGAAGTCACTCAGTAGGTGTCCAACTCTTAGCAACCCCATGGACTGCAGCCCACCAGGCTCCTCTGTCCACGGGATTCTCCAGGCAAGAGTACTGGAGTGGGGTGCCATAGCCTTCTCCATGAAGATTGTGCTACTGGATTGTGTCAAATGTTTTTTCTGTGTCTACTGAAATGATCATGTGGTTTGTGTCCTTTTATTTTTTGGCCACAACGCAGTTTGTGGGGTGTTAGTTCCTCAATCAGAGATCAAACCTGGGCCCTCAGGAGTGAGAGTACAGAGTCCTAACCACTAAACCACCAGAGAATTTCTCTGATTTTGTCCTTTAGTCTATTCACAAAGCATATTCCATTACTTTTTGTATGCTAAATCAACCTTGCAATCTTGGTATTAATCTACTAATCCTACCCAGTAAATGGCATAGATCCTTTTTACAAATCAGCAAATTCCGTTTGGCAGTATTTTGCTAAGGACTACTGTGTTTACATTCATAAGGGATATACCTTGTGGTTTTATTTTTGATGTCTTTGCCTGGTTTGTGTATCCTCATAGGATAAGTTGGAAAATGTTTCTTCCTCTTGTATTTTTGGAAATTTATGAAGTATTAGTGTTGTTCTTCACATATTTCATAGAAGTGATCAGTGAAGTCATCTAGTCCTGCAATTTTCTTTGTGAGTTTAAAAAAGAAAAAAATTATTTATGGCTGTGCTGGGTCTTTGTTGCTGCGCATGGGGCTTTCTCTAGTTGCAGTGAGCAGGGGCTACTCTCCAGTTGCAGTGCACGGGCTTCTCATTGTAGTGGTTTCTCTTACTGTGAAGCATAGACTCTAGAACACAGGAATAGTAGTTGTGGCGCACAGGCTTAACTGCCCTGTGGCATGTGGAATCTCCCCGGAGGAGGGATCAAACCTGTGTTCCCTGCATTGGCATGGACCACCAGCCAAGTCCTGTGACAGGTTTTTTGATGCTAATTTTATCTACTTATTACAGGTATGCTCAAATTTTCTATTTCTTCTTGTGTTAGTTCTGGTAGTGTATCTTTCTTTGACTTTGTCCATTTCATCTAGGTTATCTCATATGTTCGCATATAACCATTTTACAGTATTCTCTTACAATATTCTCTCAGAGTATTATCTATTTCTATATGGTTGGTTATAAGATTTTCTCCTACACTCCTGACTTTAATAATTTGAGTCTCTTTTTTTTGATTAGTTAGGTAAAGTCTTGTCAATTTTGTGGATCTTTCCTAAGAAACACTTTTGGTTTCACTGAATTTCTTGTTTTTCTGTTCTCTCGTCCATATATATTTGTTCTAATCTTTATTAGTTTCTGAATTAAGCATGTCTTTATTTTCTGTGTTTTTGTTGTCCTGGTATCTGGGAGCTTCCTAACACGAGAGGGACTGGCCTTCCCAGAGTTTACCAGTTCCTAGAGATGTAAACTTGCCTGTGAGAGGGACTTTCATATGAAAACCAACCAATCCACACCCATACCTCAACCATCTCCTCTATCACACTCAGACCCACTATGCCCCTGCCCTAATCACCCCAGGGCCAAGTACCAGAAAACCAAGAACAACCCCCCACAGCGCATGGTGCACTGAAATTATGAAAATTAGGCAATCCTGTAGTTGCTGGTCTTATCCATCCTTCTCACAAAAATCACAACTTAGGTACCGTAGTACCCACATTTCCTGTCCCCTACCCCATCTCCTGAACAGTATCAGTACTTCTTTCTTGTGCCCTCCTACTGTGGCCTAGACTGGCCCTTCCTCTTGGAATCTATGAGTATAATAGCCTTTTCAGTAGTAATTATCTCCTGATCTGTTGGCTTCATCATAACTGAATAATAACAATAAAACCTACATTTTAAAGCAGTTTCTTACTTCTGCTTAAGTTTACTTCTCTTTTTCTAGTTTCTTAGGGTAGAAGATTAAATTACTGAGTTAATATATCTCTTCTTTTCCTTATAGGACTGCTTTAAGCTGTACCCCATTAGCTTTGGAATGTTGTGTTTTCTTTTTCATTTATCTCAAAATACTTCCTAATTTCCCTTATGACTGTCTTCAACCCACTCCCAAATCTCCTCTATTAATAATTTCTAATTACAGCACTTATTCTTGACTTCAAGTATAGACCAAAATATCATAGAACCCTAGACTTGGAAGAAATCTCTCCAAAAGAATGTCTATCGATATAATCACTCTTACTTCTATTCTAGATGGTATTACCAATAACCTTTCAATAGATTCTAGAAGAGAAGCTAAAGAAATCAAATAAAAAAGCTGAGGACTATGAGCATAATCAGTTATACTTTGTATTCATATAGCATTTTACAGATTACAGAAAGCGCTTTTATATCCATGACAATGTAAAAAAGTGAATTTTTAAAAGCACTTGAATATTACTTGCAAACAAAATAAAGACAACTAGTAGGTTGGCAAAAACAAAATACCTGATAGGTATTGTCGAAACTGTCATACATGAATCTGGTAATCAGTGATGTCTTTCCAACTGAAATGAAAAGAAAAAAAGATTCACTCAGTTAGCACATTAAATTGGGTTCTCAAGCAATTTTTCTACAGAGAACTGCAATTCAATTTATTGCGAAGTATCTGCAATGGTTCTACTGATGATAATTTAAAAACATATAGGGTGAAACAGATCACCACCCCAGGCTGGATGCATGAGACAGGTGCTTGGGGTTGGTGCACTGGGAAGACCCAGAGGGATGGGGTGGGGAGGGAGGTGGGACGGGGGATAGGGATGGGGAATACATGTAAATCCATGACTGATTCATGTCAATGTATGGCAAAAACCACTACAATATTGTAAAGTAACTAGCCTCCAACTTATAAAAATAAATGGGGAAAAAAAAAAATATAGCCCCGAGTTTGTTGAAACGACTTTAACAACAGATAATCTTTCAAATTGAGAGCACAAATAAAGCATATTCATTTAGTTAAGAGTTGAGGAAAATAAAGAGAAAACATGAAGAAAAACAATCAATTATGTTGACATCTCTAATTCACAAAAGGCAAGGAGATATTTACTTGGGTCCTAACAAAAAGAACTAGGATTATACTAGGAAGAAATTATAGTAACTTCCTGGCTAGTAACCTGGGGAAAATAGGGTCAGATCTACTTCATTCAGTGAATCAAAGCTTAATCTCTGGCAGTATGAAGACTAAAGATGAAGAGTTCCAGGAGGGGTATGAGGGCTCTAAAAACTAGACTGCTTAATGAAGTGACCTGGAAAATTGTTTTGAAATTCATCTCAGGATCAGATCTCTATACTTCTTTGACAGGGCAGTCCCTAAGATTCATAATACTAACTTGTATTGGTATTTTTAGGTGAATCCACAGGAAGTGCCACTAAGAAAAAATACTGCCAATATCTTTATCCACAAGCACACAGTTCAAGGGCAAGAACCATTATCTAATTTTCCTATTTCTCCAGTAGCTTGGCCAAGACTCAATAAATACTAAATGAATACAATAAATTTTATAAATTAGAAAACAACTGGGCAAATAAAATATTTCAAATGCTCCCCAAAATGTAAATACTTTGAGAAGAAAAAACAATACCTGGTCATTCATATTTTTGTATGGATTTAAGTAACTTTTGATTTCAACTTCTGATTTTTAAGAGACCTGACTTGGGCCTCTTTATTGCATCCTCCATCCATGTTTCATATGAAAACACGAGGAAAAAACTGGGCCAAAGAGATAAGAATACCATAAAATCACCTACTCCCAAATGTCTTATTTCAAAGAATCTAAAATAGTAGGTAGAAGAGCTAAAGCTAGTTTCCCTAGATCATGGTCAAAAGCAAATTAATATTTGAGAAGAAGTCTCTATCTGGAGCTGGAGAAGGCAATGGCAACCCACTCCAGTACTCTTGCCAGGAAAATCCCATGGATGGAGGAGTATGGTAGGCTGCAGTCTATGGAGTCGCTAAGAGTCATGCACTGGAGAAGGAAATGGCAAGCCAGTCCAGTGTTCTTGCCTGGAGAATCCCAGGGACAGGGGAGTCCGGTGGGCTGCCATCTATGGGGTCGCACAGAGTCGGACATGACTGAAGCGACTTAGGAGCAGCAGCAGCAGCTCTAAGTGGAGCAATGAGTAGACCAAAGAACTTCTTAATTAATAGATCAGTTCAGTTCAGTCCAGTCACTCAGTTATGTCCAACTCTTTGCAACCCCACGGACTGCAGCACGCCAGGCCTCTCTGTCCATCACCAATATTAGATAGTATAGTTTTTATTTTGTTTTGAAAAATGTCCCATCTTCTTTATAATAAAAAGAGCAAAATGCATGCTACAAAGCAGGCAATACAGAAAAGACCAAGAACAGATCTCGGAAGCTAAGCAGGGCCTGGGCCTTGGATGGGAGAAAAGACCAAGAACAAAGTGAAAAGTATGTATATCCTACCACCTATATATAACTAATGTTAAAACCTTAGTATATATATATATATTTCTAAAATGCTTTTTATATATAAAAATATATATGTACTTAAAGGCAAAACCTTAGAACCATTCACAATAAAGTCAGGAACAATACATGTATTACTATTAATATTATTTAACATCGATCAGAATCTATAAAAAGTAAATCTAAAAATCTGAAGAGATAAAAGGCAAAATAGTGATGGCGGAAAGAGAGGCAGAGAAAAGCCAAGGAACATATAAAATCTACAGTGAAGAAATACAAAGTACCTTGTTAAAACAGTTTTTATTCAAAAGATTAAAATTTCATTACTAAGCATTTTAAATATGATTCTTCAATATAGAATCTTTGTAAATGTATTGTTCTTATTCACCCCAAAACCTTCTGTAAAATGGTATGTAAACTTATAATGATTTGCTTAATGTTTGCTTTCCTTGATAAAATGTAAGGTCCAATTTGTCTTATTTAGTTCACATCATCAGTCTGACACACCTTTGCTGAACTGATAATAATTTTCCAGAAGGTAAAAAATACATGTCTAGGGTTCTTCAAAATAAATCTTACTTTTAATTGAACAAGTTATTTTATTATAAAATAAAATATTTTATTTATTTATAAAATATTATAAAATATTATAAAAATTTTATTATAAAACACAACAAAGTGATAATATACTTTATATTTTTAAAGATGCCTAATGAGAATAACTTTTGTTCAGTACAAGGACTACATATTACATATTAGAGCACTACAATAATGTGAGTATTGCAATAAAGCCAGTTATATGAAAAAAACAACAACAAACCCTATGGTTTGTAAACCCAAGGCAATGGGTTTGCCGCTATGTATAATAGTGACAAAAAAACTTAAAACGACCAGCTTCCCCCACTATCTGAAAGTAGAGTGTTCCTATGAAACCTTTCCTAAGCCAAAATGGCATAAAGCAAAGCAGCAATTACCTTAGGACACACCTTGCTGAATGGATGCACAAAATAAAATCAAGTTAAAGCACAGATGGTCACCCACACAGTTCAAAGCTATAACGGCTTGATGCTAAGTACAGTTCCCAGGGAAGGAGCTCGGAGGTTCCACTCTTGCTGCCTGGGGGTGTTGCCTCAACAGTACCTCTCTATGTAAAAAACACTGAATGATATTTTCACTTTTCACTTTCTAGTAAATGAAAAATCCTCTTCAGATTTCTTTCAGGTAGTGAAAAAAAGTACTGATGGGTCTTACACAAAAGTAAAGTGGCATAAAGCAGACCTGTGAAAAGCAGGGAATACCTTATCTTTTTCTGCCTCAGATCCTATACTGGGTATTTTATAGGACAATGCTAACCTAAGATCATGGCATCTGGTCCCATCACCTCCTGGGAATAGATGGGGAGACAGTGAAACAGTGTCAGACTTTTTTGGGGGGCGCTCCAAAATCACTGCAGATGGTGACTGCAGCCATGAAATTAAAAGACGCTTACTCCTTGGAAAGAAAGTTATGACCAACCTAGATAGCATATTAAAAAGCAGAGACATTACTTTGCCAACAAAGGTCCGTCTGGTCAAGGCTATGGTTTTTCCAACGGTCATGTATGGATGTGAGAGTTGGACTGTGAAGAAAGCTGAGCTCCGAAAAATTGATGCTTTTGAACTGTGGTGTTGGAGAAGACTCTTGAGAGTCCTTGGACTGCAGGGAGATCCAACCAGTCCGTCCTGAAGGAGATCAGGCCTGGGTGTTCATTGGAAGGACTGATGCTGAAGCTGAAGCTTCAGTACTTTGGCCACCTGATGCGAAGAGTTGACTCATTGGAAAAGACCCTGATGCTGGGAGGGATTGGGGGCAGGAGGAGAAGGGGACGACAGAGCATGAGATGGCTGGATGGCGTCACCAACTCGATGGGCATGAGTTTGAGTAAACTCCGGGAGTTGGTGATGGACAGGGAGGCCTGGCGTGCTGAGATTCATGGGGTTGCAAAGAGTCAGACACGACTGAGCGACTGAACTGAACTGAACCTTGACATTAATTTGCAAGAAGTGAAATTTTATTTCCATCTTTCAAGAAAAGGTAACACGCTCAGGAATTTAGAAAACTAACTGCCCAAGGTAATTCAGTTCCCTATTACATGACTCCATTCCATTTCTAACCAAAGGTCATGTTCTTCTCAATATACTACTTCCCTTTGCTATTTAAGACAAGCCCCCCCCCCCCCCCCCGCCCCCACAAAAAAAACAACCCATGGTCACCATGGCAGAAAAGCTATTGTTACTACCTACTCAGCCTCCAGGTTTTAAAGAACCTGAACACAGACCATAAGAAATAGAAAATGAAAGGGAGTATATCCTTGAAAGAAAAAAACAGCAAAGAATGAGATTTTTCAGGCAGTAACTTTTTTCCTGAAGCACTAGGAAACATAAGGGCTTCCTTGGTGGCTCAGTGGTAAAGGACCTGCCTACCAATGCAGGAGACACAGGTACAACCCCCAGACTGGGAAAATCCCCTGGAGAAGGAAATGGCAACTCATTCCAGCACTCTCATTCCAGTATTCTCACCTGGGAAATCCCATACAGAGAGAGGAGCCTGACAGGCTATAGTCCAAAGGGTCACAAAGGAGCTGGGCATGACTTAGTGACTAAACAACAAACAAACAATGAAACACAACCCAGTGGGCAAGTTTCTGGTAGCAGAAGACCCAATTCCTAAAAGGTTTGAGGAGTCAGAGGACAAAGTTCAGGGCTCAAAGAACACTTAGAAAGATTGGGAAAGTAGACTTCTGCAAGAAAGAGGGCTGCAAATAGATCTGTATTTAAAACATGTCCAAATTCTTGGCTGATGTCCTCAATGATCTATGAGGACTTGATGGGGAGACCTCAGGGTTCCCAGCAGCAGATGGATGTTAAAAGAGTCTAACACACAGTTCAGAATTTGAATCCAGCCAAGGTAACTGCCTTCTAGGACAAAATAACTCGCTGGAGTAACAATGAGTCTGTATATATCTATTCTTCATCGTCCTGTATCCAATTTTAAAAAGTGTGAACATGCAAAGAAATAAAAAAATATAATTCATACTC